ACCTGATCCCTCCCGTCTCCTTCCTTCTCCCACCTCCTACATCCCCCCCCCCCCCCCCACCCCCCCACCCCCTCCTCCTCCTCCTCCTCCTCCCAAAAGGCCGCAAACGACAGATTCTCCCGAATTGTGGCCAGTGAACAATTTTCGGTCACTCCCTTTTTCTTTCTCTACGATTATCTGTTGTATCGTTTATGCATGGCCCGTCAATCGGCTCTTCACCAAGCCGCTCCGCACCTCTCACCTCCCCCTTCCCCTTGTCTCGTCTCGCCTCTGTTCTTCCTCGTGGACTAATACTACACTTTGCCAAACCCACGAACAGATGGAGCAGGTTATTGAGTCGCTGGCCGAGTCCATCTCGCAGCTTACGTCGTATGTGCTCTCGCTTGCCGAGGCTAATGCGGAGCCGCCGCCGAACCTGCCGGAGAACGGGTCGAACGTGACCAAGGTGGCGAACATTCTGGTGCAGGTCGCGCACCAGACGGCAACGGCGTTTAAGGACTACCCGGACGTGCAGGCTGAGATCGACTCGGAGGCTGACAAGGTCGGGCAGTTTGTGACGAACCTCGGTGACGCGCTCAACAACATTGTGGTTGCCGCCGATCGTGCTGGGGCGTACAAGACGCTACTGGGCGCGTGCAAGGCTATTGCCACGGGCACGTGCTACCTGCTCATTCTGGTGTACGGTGCGCGGACCAAGGCGATTCTCATCAAGGCGCAGCAGGCCAAGTCGTCGCTCGCCGACTACCGCACGCACGTAGTCAAGGACGCGCCATCCAACGAGCTGGTCACCGGCGTGCAGGACATCACCAACGAGATGGGCTATCTCGCAGCACTGGTTGCTGCTGCTGCAAAGGAGGCGACTGACGAGGACCAGAAGGCTATGCTGGCGGGTCACACCCAGAAGATTGCCGGCTCGCGGCAGAACTCGATCAACGTGGCCAACGGGTGGCTGCAGGCGCCGGCTGACGAGGCCGCGCATGCTGCGCTTAAGCAGGACTGCGACGACCTCGAGGCTCTCATCGACGCGCTCATTGCGGACCTGACACCCGATTCGGAGACGGATGCCAACGCGCAGCTGCTGGCGGTTTTCCAGGGCGCGCAGGCGAACCAGAACGAGCGCGACCGGGCCGCCAAGGCCAACGAGGCTGCCGCCCGCGACCTCAACGCGACCGGCAACCAGGGCCTTGCTGCGGGCAACCGCGTGTCGGAGAACGAGAAGCCACTGATGACTGCTGCCGGCGAGCTCGGCAAGTCGGCTGCCAAGCTCGTCAACGAGCTCAAGTCGAACCCGGACGCGTTTGGGCCCAACGCCGAGGACTTTAAGGCCAAGCGCGATCAGTTCCGTGACGCCGGTGCGACGGCCATTGCCGGCGAGGACGACGACGCAAACCGAGCGGCCATCGAGTCTGGTGTCGGTGCCGTCGAGGCTGCAGGCGCGCGCCTCGAGGCCGCCACTGCGGCGTCGAATGCCGACCCGACGTCCGAGGCCGCCAACACCGAGGTCACCGAGGCCTCCAAGGAGCTTCAGGACGCACTCGACGCGCTCATCCGCGACGCCATCAAGCGTGAGGAAGATGCGGAGCGCCAGCGTCGCGAGGCCGCGGCTGCGGCCGAGGCTGCGGCTGCTGCCGCCCGCGCCGAGCAAGAGGCTGACGCCCATGCGGCGATCGGTCCGGCTGCAGCTGCTGCCCGCGACGCCGCCAACATGCAGGGCGCCAACTCTGCGGCGGCCGACCTTCTCAACGCAGCGGCCAAGCTCCTTGCCGACGCCGACCAGTCGGTTGCGGACGCGCACCACAACCCGGCGGCCGTCCCGCAGGATGTTGCCACCATGGAGGCCGACACGGCCGACTTTAACGACAAGGGCGCGCTGGCTGCTGCCGGCGCGACCAAGGTCAACCCTGCCGACGGTGACGCGCTGTCGGCTGCGGTGGCTGCGGTGGCTGCGGCGGCCGACGCGCACAACGCGGCGGCTTCGGCGGCGGCGGCCGACCCCAAGTCGACCGACGCGTCGAACGAGCTGACCAACGCGACTCAGTCGCTTACCGATGCTGTCGACTCGCTCGGCGCGGAGATGGAGAAGCAGCGCGCGGCTGCGGCTAAGCGTGGGCTTGACGCAGCGGCGTCAGCGGCCGAGGCCGAGGCCAGCTCGGAGCCCGAGGGCTCGGCGCTCAAGGACTTCCTCGACGCCGGCGCGGCGCTGGGCAACACGGCGCCGTCGGCGATCGACGCTGCGCAGGCTGGCGACGCCAGCGCGGCAGCCGACGCTGCTGCAGGCGTGCAGAACGGTGTCCAGGCCATTGTCGCCGCGGCCAAGGCTGCGGCGGCTGATGCCGACTCGCCCGAAGAGCGACGCCAGGTGGTGGCGGCGTCGGCGACGGTCTCGAACGCCGGCTCCAAGCTTGCGGACGCGACCAAGGCTGCCGGCAACACGGCACCGGGCACGGCTGAGCATACCAAGGCGCTCGCGGCGGTCAACGAGGCGGCCGAGGAGCTTGCGGCGGGCATCAACGAGCTCGCGGCGGCCGGCGCCGACAAGCACTACCGCGAGGCGCGCGATGCGCTTGAGCACGCGGCCAAGCGTGCTCAGGCTGCGGCGGACGACGCGACGCAGCACCACGAGCGTTCGCTGCTCAACGGGGCGGCGACGATTGCGTCGGACTCGGGTTCAATCCTGGACGCGTCGCACGGTGAGTCGTCGCCCGAGGCGGCGGCGCAGCTTGACGCGGACACCAAGGCGCTCAACAAGGAGGTTGTGGCGTTTGTCAACGCCGGCAAGGCTGCGGCGTCCGAGGTGACTGACCCGGACGAGGCTGCCAAGCTCAAGCACAACGTCAAGAGCGTGGCCAAGGACGCGGCGCTGGTGCTCAAGGCCCAGGGTGCGGCGGTGGCGGCGGCGGCGACTGCGGCCAACGCGCCGGGTACCGAGGGCGACGCCGCGGCGCTTGCGGCCAAGAACGAGGTCAACCAGAAGATGAAGGACCTCGCGCAGGCGATCGAGGACATGGCCGCCGACGCCGAGGCCAAGCGCCAGGCCGAGGCCATTCGCCGCGCCACCAAGGCGCGGACCCAGGGCCACGGCGAGGAGCTGCTCGGCCTCCGTGAGGCTATCCAGGCTGCCGGCGCGGCGGGCGACTCGGCTAACGCTGCCGACTCGTCGTCCAAGATGCGCGAGGCCATCGAGGAGCTTGCGGACATCTCGCCCGACTACCAGCGCAAGGCTGCACTCCGCGACGCGGCGGCCAAGCTTGGCGAGGCTGGCGCATCGGGCGACGCGGCGGCGATGGCAACCGCGGCCAACACGGCGCTTGCCACGGCGGCGACCGACGCGGCGGCGGCGGATCTCGGCGACGAGGCGGCCAAGGCTGGCAACGCGGCTGACGCTGCGGGCGCTAGCACGCCAATCGGCAAGCTGCTGGATGCGGCCAAGAACGTGGCCAAGTCGGGCGCAAACCTTGCGTCAGACGCCAAGTCGCACCCGGAGAACGTGCCTGCTGACGTGGCGGCGCTGGAGAACGCCAACGGCGTGCTCGACGCGGCGGCCGAGGTCGCACGCGACGCACTCGCCGCCGGCGAAGTCGACGCGGCGGTTGTGGCCGAGGACCTTGCGGCCGTCCACGCGGCGTCGGACGCGCTTGCGGCTGCGGCCACGGCGCTGGCCAACGGCGCCACGGACGACCCGGCGCTCAACGAGGACGTGCTCCGCAAGGGCATTGCGCTTCAGGAGGCGGTGGACAAGCTCGTTGACGACGTGCGGCCGAAGAAGTCTGCGCTCGAGGAGCTCAACGACAACGCTGACAACCTGCTCGCGGCGCTCGACAAGCTCGAGGGCTGCGTCGACCGCAAGGACGGTGCCGGCGCCGACCCGGCGACGAGCGCGGTGGTGGAGGCTGCCAAGGCGCTGGGCGTGAACCTCGACGATCTCGGGCTGACGGATGCGGCGGCGGCAGTGAACGACGGCTCTGCAGCGGTTCTCGCGTCGTCGCTCCCGTGGCAGGCCGACGTCAACGATGCGGCCAAGACCGATGCGGTCAAGGCGGCGATCGACCAGCTGCGCAAGGCGGCGAACGACGGGCGCCGCGCCGGGATGGGCGAGGCTGCCGGGCGCGACCTTGACAGCACTGGCGCACACGCCGACGAGCTCGCGGCCGATGCTGCGGGCGCGCTGCCCGCCGAGGAGTCGCGGCTGCTCGACGCCATCAAGGCGACGGCGGCGTCGGCCAAGACCTTGGTCAACGACGTGTCGGCGAACCCGGGGAGTGTCGACGCCGACGCGGCCGACCTCGACTCGAAGGTCGACACGCTCGGCGGCGCAGTCGACGATGTGCTGGCCATCCTGGACAACCAGGGCGACAAGTCGCGGCTGCAGCAGTCGATGCCGGTGGTTCGCTCGGCGGCGGCTGGGCTCAACGAGGCGGCCAAGGCGTCTGCGGCAAACCCAGACGACGCCGAGGCGGCGAAGCAGACGGCGGCCATGGCCAAGGCGCTCAACGACGCGCTGGAGAACATGATCCGCGACGCGCGCGACCGCGCGCTGCACGCTGCCGACGCCGCCAACGCGCAGGCGCAGGACACGCTTGGTGCGCTCGGCCCGGCGGCGGACACGCTCAAGGACGGCGCGACGCCGGAGCAGATTGCGCTCCTCGACGCGACGGCTGCAGCGGCCGACCAGGCTGCAGGCCTGGTCGCCGACCACGCTGCGGGCGGTGCTGGCCTCGACGGAGCGGTCGCTGAGCTGGAGGCTGCCGCGGGCCCTGCGGCGGGTGCGGCTGATTCGGCTGCGGCGACCGAGGTTCCGCGGGTGGTCGGCGGCGCCAAGGATGCGGCGACGAGCCTGGCGACGACGGCGGCGGCGGCCGAGGCGGCGCCAACGTCGGTGGCTGCAGCTGCAGCTGCGGCGGGCGCGGCGGGCGAGACTGCCGATGCGCTCCGCGACGTTCTGGGCGAGGTTGTGCGCCAGCAGCGTGCTGCGGCCGAGGCCGCGCTCCGCGACGAGGCTGCGGCATCGGGCGCTGCGGCGAGCTCGGTTTCGGAAGCGGACGCACCGCTGATGGAGGCCAACTCGGAGGTGGCGACCAAGGCTGCGGACCTGCTTGCGGAGATCACGTCGAACCCGAGTGGTGTGGAGGAGGCAGCCAAGGCTGTGTCCAAGGCGCTTGCGGCGTCAAACGCGGCCAACAACGAGCCGAACGACGCGGTCGACGACGCCGCGTCCGAGCTGTTGACGGCGGCCAAGAAGGTGGCTATGTCGCCGAACAACGTCGAAGCCGCAGCTGGAGTGGTCAAGTCGGGCAAGGCGCTGGCGGAGGCGCTGGCAGCGAGCCGCGAGTCCAAGCTTGCGGCCGCGGCTGCGGCGTCGGCTGCTGCGCTGGAGGACATCAAGAAGCGGCTGGACGACGCGGCGGCAGCGATCGGGACCGAGCCTGCGGGCGCGGTGGCCGCGGCTGGTGGCGCGGCGCTGGGCGGAGCCGGCGGCGACGGCGCGGTGGCCGCAGCTGCGGCTGCGCTTGGCGCGGACCTCCGGGCTTCTGGCGATAACCCGGCACTGGTCAACCTGCTTGGTGAGCTCGACTCTGCCGCGGGCGCGCTTGACAGTGCGAGCAACAACGCCGAGCGCGAGGAGGCCGGGTCGCGGCTTGCGGCTGCGATGGAGGGCCTCGCCGGGTGGAACACGCAGCGCGAGTCGGACGCGGCGCGTGACGCCCTCAACGCGGCGCTCTTTGACCTCGCTGGGTTTGACATCGACGGGCTTGGCGACCTGCTGGGCCTGGCCGGCGACCTCGGGCGTGCGCTCGGCGACCTGGTGGGCAACCTGCCCGGGATGAACCTCGCGGATGCGCAGGCCGGCGCTGATGGCATCGACGGCCTGGCCGGCGACCTCAAGGCCGAGTCGCGGGTGGTGCAGCTGGAGAAGATCAAGGACAAGGACCTCAAGAACATTGTGGCCGACGCGGTGCGGGCGATGGTCAAGGCGGCGTCAGCTGAGTCGTCGGCGGCGCGCGAGCAGGACGTACCGCAGTCTGCGGCGGCCGGGCATAAGATGGCCAAGGCCATGGCCAAGTTTGCCGAGGATCTCAAGGCGTGGCGCGAGGCCAACGCTGGCGGCGGCGAGGCCGACGCAGCTGGCGCCATCCAGGACATGGCAGCGAACCTCAAGTCGCACGCGCAGGAGTTTACCGGCGAGCAGGCGTCGGACCCGGCGGTGCTCGCAGGGCTCGAGCTGGCCGATCTCATGGCAAAGCTCGCCAAGGCTGCCAAGGAGGGCAAGGGCTCGGAGATCATTGCCGTGGCCAAGGCCATCTGCGTCCTCGCCAAGAAGATCGCCAAGGACGCCATCGGCATCGGCAAGACGTGCAAGGGCAACGCCCAGCGCGGCATTCAGGAGATGGGCTCGACCATCTGTGGCGCCGCCACCGCTCTCGACACCTTCTCTACCCAGCTCAAGATCATCTCCATCTCCAAGGCTGCCATCGCCGCCTCAAACGAGGTGGATGACGCTGCCGAGTCGCAGCTCATTGCCGTGTGCATGGGCATCCAGCGCTCAGTCATGACCGCCATGGATGGTGTCGTCTCGGCCCGTCTTGTCAAGTAGACGAGAAGCCAGGCACGATGCTGTTGTGTGAGATTAACACAAGTTTACAAACTCGTCGGCCACTGCGGTCACGAAGACGCCGATGATGACGAGGACGATGACGAGGACGATGACGATGGCGATGACGACGAGGAGGAGGCGTCTGCGTATCGGTCGTGAGCGGTAAAGGTGACGCTGGTGTTGGCGCTGGTGTTGAGATAGTGGTCGGCGTAGTCGGCGGGCGGAGCGGCAAACATGGCCGATTGGGTCTTGGTACGCGAGAGGCCTGAGACGGAGAGGGTGAGGCTGCGGGTGAGGCCGGCGTCAAGGGCGCCGAGGCGTTCAGCAGCCTTGCGGGCGCGCCAGGCCCAGGCAATGCCAGCGATGCCCATGACTAGGCCTGCAATGACGCCGAGGGCGACGACGATGGAGCCGTTGCGGCGGGAACCGTGCTCGATGAGCATGATGACGCCGGCCGAGGCTGCAAAGATGGCAAAGTGGAGGCCGAGCTCGAGCAGGTTCCACACCTTTGCGCGGTACGGATGGCAGAAAGTGGCGCCGGTGAGCGAGATGGCGTAGACGATGAGAACGACGATGACCTGTGAGTAGGCAGATCGCGAGGCAAACATGACGGCAACAACGACACAGGCCTTGCGGATGAGAACAAGGAACTCCCAGCCACGGGCGCCGAGACGGTAGGGCCTGACGAGCGAGGACCAGATCGAGCCGGCGACGCCGACGCCGGAGCGGGTGAGATGGCGGACGCGCGAGGAGGCGTAGAGCGGAAAGATGATGCCGTAGGTGAGGGCGACGATGGAGCCAACAACAGCGAGGGTCATCCATGCGTTGCCTTCGCTCCGGGACCAGCACTCGGTCCTAGGATCGGCGTCCATGATGGGCTTGGTCGACCCGTCGCCAGCCTTCATCCACGAGCAGTCAAAGGCCTCGAGCGATCGCGAGACAACCGGGATGTACAGGAGCGACCAGGCCTTGATGGCAAGGCGACCGATGGACTTGGCCTTGCACATGACCTTGAGGAGGAGTAGCCAGGCGAGGAGGACGATCGGAATGGCGAGGCAGAGGAGCCACTTGGTCTCGTAGGTGATGTCGGTGGCGCATTCGGGCGGCGTGGCGTCGACGTCAAAGTTGGCCGTCGCGGCAAAGGTGAGCATCTGGCGGGTTCCGCGCGAGAACTGGACGCCCTGCATGCGGCGAAAGAGACCGATGATCTGCAAGAATGACCAGAGCATGACCAAGCCCGTCCGCGGATCAGGCACAAATGCGCGGCGACGGGTGCGGCCGCTGGCGACGTCGCCGTCGATCGACTCGCTGCCCGAAGCCTGGTCATCGGACGCATGCTCCGAGCCGTGGCGGATGCGGGTCTTTTCGGAGTGCTCGATGTGGACCGAGATGGCGAGGACGATGTGTGCGATGAGGAAGATGGAGATGAGGACGATGAAGACGACAAAGACCGAGGCGATGGCGCCGGCTGAGGGGCAGGCCTTGCAGATGGAGTCGCTTGGGTAAAATGACGGGGCGCAGTCTCCGCATCCGTCGCCTTGGTAGCCCTGAGCACACGTCGAGTTGCCCGGGCAGATGTCAGGGGTCCGGCAGGCGATAAAGGCATTGGCGGTGGCAGGATCGGGCGCAAAACCCGGCAGCGAGACGCACGACGTGGCGCCGACGGCGTTGGTTGTCCCGCCGAACGGGCAGTTCAAGCAGGTGGGATCATCGATGATGCCATAGGTTCCGATGGTGCACGGCGAGCACTCGAGAGAGCCTGTTGCAGTGGTGCCGGTGGAGCCTGCGGGGCAGGTGATGCAGCGTCCGTCGGCGCCCGGCAGAGACATCCATCCACTGCCGCACACTGAGTGGATGACGAGGGTGTAAGCGTGAAAGTCCGAGTTGAACTCGACAGTGAACGGGAGGATGACGGCTGATGACGAGCCTGGCGAGTCGGATGGTGCGTAGAGGGCCTCGGCCTCGGGCTGGAAGTTGGGGACGGTGTGGGCACCGATGGCGACGAGGGCGACGGGCGAGGCGCGAAGGGCTTCGGTGTCGATGAAGGCGCCAAAGCTATCGGTAGGTCTCGCGCGGAAGACAGCGTCAGAGATGGAGATATCGCTGGATTTGCAGGCAGCCGAGGAGGTGTCGATGGGGCAGAAGGTGTGGTCGAGGGTGTACGACGGATCGTTGTCGTAGAGAGCGAGGGTGACGAGAGCAGCGGCGGCGTAGTCGATCGAGGCGGCAAGGAGAGTGACCTGGCCGGGCAACGACCGGGATGTCATCCAGTTTGGCACTGGGCTTGGGAGCTTGGTGGTGGGGTAGAAGCCAATGATGTGCCACTCGGTCTGCCCGTTGAGGTTGCGGGTGAGGATGAGGTCGATGACGCCGGCGTGGTCGGGATTGGCCGAGACACCTACGACGGTGGCATCGGCGGCCGGGTAGTGGAACAGGTCTGTGACGAGGTAGTTTGCGTCGGACGAGCCATCGAGAGCAAAGGTGATGACGCGCGGAGCAGGCATCGATTGCGAGATGACGACGATACGATCGGCGGTGGCGTTGCCGACAAAGTGGATGGGCGCGCCGTCCTGCGGCCACCACAGGTTCCTGGTGCTACAGGCGGCGAGCGAGCGCGGGCACGAGACAAGAGTGAGGCCAGCAGCAGCATTGGGGTAGACGACGACGATGCGATCGCCGATGGGTGTGATGACCGGCTTGGCAGCAGGATCGGCGTGAAGCGCGTCGGGAACAACGACGGTGGCAGGCTTGGTGGCGGAGAGATCGATAAAGTTGGAGCAGACAATGCTCAGGCTAGATGGGCCAAACATGCGTGGAATAGCGAGCATGCACAGATCGACATTGTCGTTGAGCGATGTTTCAGAGCGGGCATCGGCCCAGATGGCTAGGCCCTCGTCTTGGCTTGGAACGAGGTCGGCGACGGGATTACAGACCCACACGGTCTCGAGGCTATCCGAGGGCACGCCTGGGTTGGCGCAAGTGCGATCATCGGGGCTGCTTGTGGTCTTGAGGACGCACACTTGATAGGTGCCGGATGCAGCGACGGCGAGGACCTGGCTCGAGTTGCGGGCGAGGGCGATGGCGGAGGGAACATTGCCGCCGGGGAGCGGGTCGGCGCCGTCGTGGTTGATGAGCGCCTTGAGTGAGACACGGGTCGTCGTCTTGACTGGAGCAGAGGCCGGCGGCACAAAGTCCTGCAGCCAGCAAGCCTGCTGAGCCGTGGAGGAGGCGATGATGGTGGCGAGCGCGATGGCGACGGCCAGGGGGAGGAGCAGGTGCATGTTCTGCGGTTGCGTTTGACCGATACCGAACCTTTAATCAGATGCGGGAAAAATATGAGTGAGGTGATTGCGAATACGATCACGGGCGGAGGAGCGAGCGCTGGGGATAGGGGTGAGATGATGTGTGTTGTAAGTGTGTAGGTGAGTGAGTGAGTGAGTGTTGCGAGAGAGAGAGAGAGAGAGAGAGGAAGTGTGTGTGTGTGTGGTGCGGGTGGTGGGTGTGGGGGGTGGGTTGGCCGGTGTTGAAAATTTTTATTGATGTGTGCGGGTGGGGGGTGGCGGTTGGCGGTTGGACGAGTCGGGCGGAACGAGTTGGTAGGTGGCGAGGTGGAGGCCGAGGTGGGGGCCGAGGTGGGGGCGGGGCAGTTGGACGGTAGAGGTAACAGCTGACAACGTGAGCTTGGGCGGACGGGCATGGGCTGCGGGCCGTCATCCGAGGGCCGTGTGGACGACGTTCAGCGAGAGAGCAAGCGCGGCGGAGGTCGGCAAGGAGGCGATGATGATGCTAGTCGGAGGGCAGCTAGCAGCGACGATGGCGGCAGTGATGCGGCGAGAGCCGAGGCAGAGGCGCGGCAGGCGGCGATGGATGCGGCGGCGCTGCGGGCACAAGTCCGGCGAGAGCGAGCGGATCAAGAGGCAGCGGAGAAGCGGGTAGCGGAGGAGGCAGAGGCAGCGTCGCAAGCGAGGCACAGGCGCAGGAAGGACGGCGGCAAGGACGACGAGCCGCTGTCGGACAACGTGCTGATCCGGAGGCGGCAGGTGGCGGCACGAGCGGCGGAGCGGCGGAAGCAAGCTGAAGAGGCCGAGCTGAAGGCCAAGTGCACGTTCAAGCCAAAGATCAACGCGACTTCGGCAGTGGTGGCGGCGGCAGCCAAGGACGGCGGCAGCGGCGGGAGTGGCGGGCAGTCGAAGGGATCGGTGTATGCGGCGCTGACGCCGGCGCCGGTCCCGGTGCGGTCGAAGAACCTGCAGCGGATGGCGGCCGACTACGCGACAGGCTCGCCGTTTGCCTTTACCGACTACGTCGAGGCGCGCGGCGCATATGCTACGGCCTTGATCGAGGCCGAGACCGCGACGGAGCAGGCCGAGGAGGTGCCGGCAGACCACTTTGTGGTTCCATCGCCGCGGACGACGCTCCCGCATCGCAAGCAGCAGCTTGACCGTGCCAAGAAGGCGGTGATGCTTGACTTTAAGGCGTGGTACGGCAGGCAAGAAGCAGCCGGTAAGCCTGTGGAGCCGTTTCCGGACAAGGCCTCGGCTTTTCGCATCATTGATCGGCTCGCGGCGTCGCGGCAGCGGGCGCGGCTGTATTGAGTGGCAGGGGGGTGGAGGGAGGAGGAATGGGGGGGCCTGATCCGGAACCACTCGAGTGACCACCGCATCACCATCATGACGGACCGCGGTTCCAAGCCGTCCAAGGAGCTCAGACCATTGACCGATGGGTAAAGAACCAGATCCGAGCCATTGGCCATGTGTCCCTCGTGATGAGGGGTGTGATGGGATGGGGATGAGTCGGGATGGGGATGAGTCGGTATGGGTCATGATGAGTCGGTATGGGTCATGATGAGTCGGTATGGGTGATGACGGGGTGTGATGAGGTGTGATGGGTCACGATGGGTGATGACGGGGTGTGATGAGGTGTGATGGGTCACGATGGGTGATGACGGGGTGTGATGAGGTGTGATGGGTCACGATGGGTGATGACGGGGTGTGATGAGGTGTGATGGGTCACGATGGGTGATGACGGGGTGTGATGAGGTGTGATGGGTCACGATGGGTGATGACGGGGTGTGATGAGGTGTGATGGGTCAGTATGAGCCAGTATGTGTCGGGATGGGGACTGGGCGGGAGGACCAGCAGGGTCACATAGTGTTACCACTGTCTCCACTCCGCCTCTGCCTCTGCCTACGGACACCACTTGACTAACCACTTAAGCGAGTGACTATGGTCTCCCTCAAGGTTATTGGCATTGCCCTTGGTGTTCTCACTGTTCTTGCTGGCATGCTTATTGAGACGCAGGAGGTACGTGAGGGGAGAGGGAGGGGTGACGGGGGGGGAGTGGGGGGGGGGGGGACGAGGAGGGGGGGGGGGGCGACGAGGAGTGTGTGCGGGGAATTAGAGGGAGGGACTCATGGTGGGCGGAATGATGGTCATGTGACTGGTGGTGGCGGTGGTGATGGTGATGGTGGTGGTGGTGGTGGTGGTGGTGATGGGGATGATGCTGCTGCTGCGATGGTGCTGATGCTGTGATGGTGTGCTGTTGCTGTGATGGTGTGCTGATGCTGTGATGGTGATGCTGTTGCTGTGATGGTGATGCTGGTGGTGGTCTGGTGATACTGCTGCTGCTGCTGCTGCTGCTTCCTCTATCTCTGCTGCTGCTGCTGCTGCTGCTACCTCACTGCTGCTGCTACTGCGATGATGCTGCTTCTCTGGTGATGATGGCTGACGTTCCTGGTCATCACAGCTCGACGGCTGCATGTTTGATCCGGACCACCTTCACGAGATCGTTCAGTCGGTCATCTCTGACTATCCGGACCCGGAGGATGTGCGCGGGCGGATTGATGCTGTTGTGGAGCGCGTGGACAAGGCGTACCCGGGGTACCTGCAGGGCAAGGACCGCGAGGAGTGGCTGCTCAACTTTGCCGGCAACGCTGTGGGCCAGATGTGGCCGCTGCGGATCACGCTCTCGTCGTACCTCATCATCTTTGGCACGCCGCACGGGCCCAAGGAGAACCCGGGCATTCCCGGCATGTCGACCAACGCGGCGTTCACCGGACGCTACCCGCTGGCCACCGACTTTTTCATGCCGCTCACCGGGATCCAGCTCGGCTACGCGCCTGGCGACATGCGCGTCACCGTCCACAAGCCCGGTGACATGCACATTCTCAAGCCCGGCGACGCCGAGGTCTACGAGTTCCCGGGCTACATTGCCGGCGAGTCGACCGGCGGCGGCTTTGCCCTCGAGTACGCCTGCGGTGGCTCAGCACTCCGCGCCGGCGAGACCGCGCCGTCGGGCAAGTCGGCTGGCGTCCGCGGCGCGTGGAAGGGCACCAAGGCCACTCTCTGGTCTCTCTTTGCCATCCCCTCGATGCTGCCGTTTGGCCTCGTCCAGATCGCCACCTCGACCCACGACTACTACACCGCGTGGCGGACTGTTTACGTGTCGGCGTGGTACATTGTGGAGAACCTGCTCCGCGGGCAGATCTAACCAGCTAAACTATGCCTCACACCTTTGGCCAGAGCGCGATCGAGAGCGCGCCGGCGCCGTAGGTGTACGACGGGCCGGAGACAACCTGCATGTTGGTCGTAACCACCCCAGTGTCGTCTGCGTACGTGCCTGTCACCACGTTGATGGCGCCGGCGCCGGCGTACATGACCGCGTTGAACGGGACCTGTGCATCGATGCCATCCGCGCCCGGAATGGTGGTAAAGACCACGCCAAAGGCCGAGCCATCAGCCAACGTCGCGTTCACCACGCCCTCGAATGGCGCTGTCGTCGGCCCACTCTCCTCGTCGTGCTTGAGCGACGAGACGACGTTGAACGAGAACGTCCCCTGTCCCGTCGTGCCCGCCCGGTCTTGGAACGTGAGAGTTCCTGGAATGTCCACACATGTCTTTGATGACGACGATGAGCACGGGCCCGAGAAGGTGGCAAGGATCTGTTGTCGTCGCCCAGCCGCGCCCAGCCAGCCACCGACCCCGCCCAGTCCCCCAGCCCGCAGCCGCATCAGCCCCGCAGTCAGCCAGCCCGTAGCCGCATCAGCCCCCCTCCCTCCCGCATGCCCAGCATGAGTCTCATCGCCTCACCTTCCTCCGTACACCCTCTATCGCACCCGACCCCCCCCCCCCCCCTCCCCCCCCCTCCCGCATGCCCTCCATCACCACCGCAAGACGACCAAGCCAGAGCCCATGGACAACATACAAAGAGCGGAACAGGTGGTGGCGGATCTGCAGCCGATGCGGCAAGAGGCATGGCGGTGAGGCAAACCGCAGCAAGAAGAACAAGGACGGTGAGTGGAGACATGATGACGAAAGGAATGGCGAGAAAGAGTCAGGTGTCCGTCCGCGACATACCGCTCTGCCCGGCTTTCGCTCTCTCGTTCGCCGTTCTCCTCGGCACCACCCTCACTACCTGGATGAGACACAGTGTTGTTTTGTACGGCTACACTCGCTCTCGTCTACGCGTAGTCCTCATCCTCCGGCGGCGGATCGTCGGCGTTGGCAGCGGCGGCACCAGAGCCAGCCCCCTCGCCGTTGCCACCACTCCCGGAAGCGCTCGAGCCCTCGCCTTCGGCCTGCTCCTTCTCGCGGATGACCTCAAAGGCGGCAATGGCGGCAGCAACGTCGTCGCCCGAGAGGTGCTTGAGCGTGACGGCGCCGTCGACGCGGGTGAGGACGGCGAGCTCGACCTTTTCAGCATCCATCGTTGTCGCGTCCATGGCCTTGGACAGGACCCGGATGGCGAGCGTCTTGGCATCGTCGAGCGTCATCTCCTCCTCGTACTTTTGCTTCAGTGTCGACCGTGCATTCTGATAGTTGGACCCGATGGCCGTAGCCTTCCACCCGCCAAAGTTGCCCGACGGATCCGACTTGTACAGCTGGTAGCCGTGGAGCCGGTCCCAACCAGCGTAGAGGAACGAGACACCAAACGGCCGGAGGCCACCGTACTGCGTGTAGCCCTGCTTGAGGTCGCACACTTGCCGGACGAGCTGTTCCACCGGAATGTCCTTGCGGTAGGAGAAGAGGTACCGCTGGCCGACCTGCCGCGCGTAGTTGACCAGAATGTTGGCATCCGACGTCATGCCAGCCACTGCCACCGCAGTCTGCGCATCGATCCGGTACATCTTCTCCGCATTGACCGACGGCTCAAGGAGCGGCGAGGTGACCTTCTTCTCGGCCGCGAGGACAATGCCGTCCGACGTGAGGATGCCCACGCACGCACCGGCCTGGGAGATGGCCTCCATGGCATACTCCACCTGGTAAAGCCGACCTGAAATTAGAAGACATCATCCACAACATCCCCATCACACCCCATAAGTCTAATTCCTTGCCCATGCCCCCCTCACAGCCCTTGCCCGTCCCCACGGCTTCCACCACCAAAAAAAGGTCGCCTTCGCCCACCGCCCGCGATCACCCGCCCACAGGTCGCCGTCACGCTCACCACGCTCTCTCTCTCCCTACAACTTCCCTACCCCTCCTACCCATTTCATACTAACCGCAAAACTCTCCTCTATAACCTCATCCCCATCTCCGTTCCAACACGTCGCCCCTGCTCAGCTTACCCTCCGGTGAGAAGATGGTTGTCCGCGAGTCGTACCGGCGAGCCTGTCCACCCAACACCGCCACCACACTGTGTGAGTCATAGACCTCCCTTCCCCCCCCCCTTCCCCCCTCCCTCTCCCCTCTCCTTCTCCTTCCCTCTCTCCCTCCCCTTGTCCGTACCATGCTGCGCTGGGTTGACGAGTCGAGAGTACCGTCCTCGTCAGTCTTGGCCACTGTTGCTGGACGTCGGGGGTGAAGGCTCGCGCTTGGCTGGCCTGACCCGACTCATTCCTTCGTTTGGATGGTTAATCGTCACCTCTATCGATTACTGTTGTTGGACATTGTTAATCGTTACCTCCATCGATTACTGTTGTTGGACATCGTCAATCGTTCGATTGCTGTTGGTGGACACGCATGCCACCCGCATGTGCGACTTGTCGGCGAACCGCACACAAACACGCATGCACGCACACTCGGTGGAAGGGCAGACGACACGCAACTACGAGGAAAGAAGGCTTTGATGGCGGACTACGGAGCACCACCTGCGTACTCGGCGACCGCTGAGAGTGGCAAAGGCGACGGTCGTGGAGAGCTGGCGTCTGCCTACCCGGCCATGCCCGAAACGATGCCGAGCGAGGGAGGACCGAGTCGTGACCAAGGTGGTGGCGGAGGGTATGGGACGGGATACAACCCTGCGATGGCGACGAATCAACAGGGCGGACACCAAGTTCAGTTTGCTGGTCAACCGTATGGGGCATCGTACCAGCCTGCACCGGCATACAATCCCGTGTATGGGGAGGAGGAGCTCAAGGCGCTGGATATGGTCATGGCCAGCACGCCTACCAACCTCATCTGCAGATGGCTCATGGTCCGCCGGCCAACATGGATCATCGGCAGATCCGTCCTCGTCGTGGGGTTTGTGGCTACCTTGGCGGCTGGCTTGCTGCCTTTCTCTGCTGTGCTGTCGCGCCGCTGGTCATCTTCTCCGTCTTCTCGGCAACGTACTCGAATGTCAACATGGGCATGTTCATCTGGATGCCGGCCACGGTCTTTGTTCTTGGCTTTCTCTCGCTCTGCGCCTTTCGCCGTCTCTCGCACGGCGTCCTTGCTCCGCCGCTTGTCGCGCTCCTCCTCCTTGCCCTCTTCACTCTCCAGTCGGCCATCTTTGTGGGTGTTGACTATCATCAGAAGTGCATCGAGTATGAGAACCTTGGTGGGCGGGCAACGCGGATGCTGTACGGGCCAGCATGCCCGTGGGGTGCAGTCATCTACTCTGGCCTGGCGGGCGTGGTTGGCTTTGTGGTCATCGGCTTTTGCATCTTTTGCTGCGGCTGGTCGTCGGGCAAGTCGCGCGAGCGCATGCTCGCCTACCGTGCGCTCTCGGGCGTCCCGGTCGGTCTCAGCTCGTTCCACACTCCATTCCCCAAGCTCAGTCTGCGGCGCAAGATCATCAACGGCGTCCTCATCTTTGTCCTTGTCGCTGTCTTTGTTTCGGTCTTCTACTCGCTCACCTTTACCACCCACCCGTGGCTGGTCGTCGATTCCGAGGGCAACACCTTTGGCCCCGACAAGCCGCCCAAGGGCGTGACCACCTGCCCAGCCGGCGACATCTTCTACCACCAGCCGCACACCGCCGATTTGCCGTGCTGCCGCTGGCACAACAAGGCGACGTGCGTCGATGTCCACAAGCTTTACGCCTCGAACACACCGTCGGACCCCACGTGCGTGACCAATACCGGCGACAACGTGTTTATCAATGGTACTCTCGCCCCGTCGTGCAGCGTTTGCGATCTGAAGCCAGATGTCTGGCTCTTCTTTGACGATCCGCCCGGCTGCGACGGCGACGACGACTGCACGTACCAGAACTCCAAGTGCAACAAGCTCTCGGGCCTCTACACCTGCTCGATGTTCTCAGGCGCCGCCGCAGAGTTCCTCGACTACGGCACCGCCTCGCAGCCCATCAACAAGCTCCGCATGTGCTCTTCCTTCTGCGACGAGTGGTGGACCGAGTGCCAACCGTTCATCAACAGCAACGACTACTCCTCGCCACGCGACTTTTGCACTGCCGTCGGCACCAACATCGAGATTGTGAGCAACTCGACAAAGTGCTTCTCTGCCGCCTCTACCCTTGGCTCCCCGTCGCGCCTCGCCCTCGCCGCCCTCGCCATCATCGTTGCCCTCTTTTCCATGCTCAGCTAAAAATCACCACGCTTCCACACCCCTTCCCTTTCCCATCGTCAAGCTCCCTCGCACCAGCCTCACCGCCATGCCGATGCAGCCCATCTCCAGAGCCAGCTCCACCGCCTGCGGCCACAGCTCTGCCCTCAGCGCACCGACCACCCGTTCTCCATTTCGATCGAGTTACACATCAATCTCCCCTTTTGGTTTGATCTTCCTAAAGAGCTAACCAGGCGAGTGGAGGTTGCGATGCGGTGATGCGTAGAGTCGGCCACTCCGCCCAGGGGATGACAGGGGAGGAGCGAGATACCGTGCGGTTGGCAGCTCTCTCCGCTTTCCTCCCCCTTGATCCAGTTTTGGGCCGACATGTCGGGCATGCGACGGCGGCGGGGGTCTGACGCCTCTGACGTTTCGTCGCTTCCAGAGACTGAAGAACAGGCCCGCTTGCGCCGTGCGCGGACGAGTGTATGTGCTCTCTATTGAGTTTGGGTGGTGTGCTGTATGTATGCCTGTCGGTAGCGGTCGAAACATGGTCTACCTCCCCCCCCCCCTCGTCCTCCTCCGCAGCTCAAACCCAGCTCGTCCTCCTTGCGGGGGTTCGCACTCCTCCGCCATTGACTCACACGTCATCCATTGTCTGTTGATCATGGGTCTGGCCATTGCCATTTTCGGATGGCCGGGGGAATACCTCATTCCATTGGACGAAACGAATACGGATTACACGCTCTGGTCTGTTGGTGCATCGGGCTGCTTCGCACGCGGGGGGGCGTGGGACGACGCGGCGAACGATCGAATCGAACCTTGCGGTATGGTTGTCGTGTGGCGGGGTGGATGGAGGGAAATAGTCGGCGGTGTCCAAGGGCACGGGCGTGGTCCATACCAAGGTCATGGCATCGCCGCTGTCGTCGGACACGGCTTATGTGTACTCGTATCGTGGCTTCCGCAACTTGGCGCTCCTCATTCTGGTTGTGTCCAACCTGCGGCTGGTCATCGAGAACGTGACCAAGTACGGCCTGCTTGTGGACGTCTGGTCGATTCTTGTGGGCATTGCCACGCAGGACTTTTCGTCATGGCCGACGGCGTCGATGGCGATCGGACTCTCCGTCTTTATTGCAGCGGCATGGGTAATCGAGCTCCTTGCGTCGGGCTCGTGGCTCCCGTCGGGCGTGGCCAGCCTTGCTCATGCCGTCAACGTGGCGGCATCGCTTGCGATTCCGTGCCTGTGGATCTGGTACATTCCGTCGAACGAGGTTCTTGCGCTCATTCTTGTGCTCTCGGCCATCACGCTCTTCCTCAAGCTCTGGTCGTACGCAACGGTCAATGCGCGGGCGCGGGCACAGTTCCTGGAGCGTGGGCGCAAGCCGGTCTGTGCCATCAGGCCAGGTTGCGTACCCGGCCAACGTCACGCCCCGCAACATAATCTGGTTTCTGGCGGCGCCGACGCTCTGCTACCAGATCAACTACCCGCAGACGGCGGGCATCCGACCAGGCTTTCTACTCCGGCGGACGGCCGAGTTTTTCTTTTTCTCGGGCCTCATCTTTATGCTCGCGCAGCAGTACATGGTGCCGACGGTGGCCAACACCATGGCGCCGCTGCAGGCGCACAACTACATCAAGGTGGCGGAGCGGCTGCTCAAGATTGCGGTGCCCAACTTTCTGATCTGGATCCTGGGCTTCTACACCTACTTTCACGTCTACCTGAACATCTGGGCTGAGGTCACGGCCTTTGGCGACCGGGTCTTCTACAAGGACTGGTGGAACTCGACAACGCTGTCGCGGTTTTGGCGGGCGTGGAACATCCCGGTCCACAACTGGCTGGTGCAGAACATCTACCTCCCGCTCCGTACCCTTGGCGCGTCCAAGCAGGTCGGCTACGTCGCATGCTTCTTCTTCTCGGCTCTCCTCCACGAGCTCATCATCGATGTCGCCTTTCGCTCGCTCGGCTGGCTCGCCTTTGCTGGCATGATGCTCCAGATCCCATCGTGCCTCTTCACCGACCAGTTCGAGGGCACAACCCTCGGCAACGTCATCATGTGGCTCTCGCTCCTCCTCGGCCAGCCGCTCTGCATCCTCGGCTACTACGCCGCCATTGTCTCCAAGACGCAAGCATCGTAACGTAAAACCGACACATTGTTGGCCCAAACCACGGCGGGCATCAGCCGTATCGGTTCGGGCCACACGCAGTCTCACACCTGCAACGAGTCGCCGTGCCGCGACGACATGAGCGACGGGACCGAGGCCATGTTGGGCATGGGAAGCATCCAGTTCAGGATGTTGGACATGTGCTTGGTGATGGCCACCCGATGGGTCTCGGTTAGGAGCTCGGGCGAGAGAGAGACTCGCAGGAACTCGACCATTACCACGGCGAGCTGGTCCATGCTCTGGATGACCGAGTCGCCCAGCCCGGCATGGGTAGAGCCGATGGCCTCCAGCTCGGGCGCGATGAGACCAAACGAGGTCGCACCACGAACAGTGACATCAAAGACAACCGCAAAGGCATAGCCATGGTTCTTGGGCATCTCAGCCTCGATGGCCTCACTATCGGCAACGTACGCATCAAACGCATCCCCAAAATGAGCAAGTGTGCCAAAGTGCAGCTTGATGATGGACCAGATCGAGTTGAGCGCCACAAGATCCGCATCCGACAGTTCCATCAAATCATTGCGGTTGTCATTGACCACAGAGACAGAGGTCGAGAGACGGGATAGACTCCGCCGCGAGCTGTTGGCGTCATGTGTGGCCCTCCGCGACCGGTCGAACACCAGCCGTGCCGCTGTCGGCTCCTTTACCGCCCGCGACGTCGAGCCGGATGCACCCATTTCTCGTTTCTGTGTGAGGGAGAGCGGTGGGTGGGTGGGTGGGGTGGGTGCGGGTTGGCGGTGTTCTCGGGTGGGGTTGGGCAGGGAGCGGTGGACAAAACCCATTTGACAGGGGGACAATTTGGCAGTCAAACCAATAAAAGGCTCAGCCAAGCGCTCTATATTTGAATGCGTTCATCCTATGCTGAAAATACCCGATCCCGTCTCGCTCTCGGAAGTCAAGCAGCATGAGGCTTGGTTAGTACTGTGGTGGGGGACCACACGGGAATACCGAGTAACGCATTCTTTTTTATTTTTGCCCAAACACACACCCTCCTCGCAGCAGCCCTGGAGGCGAACGACACACGCTTCAGCCGCCCCATGGAGTGGGCCTATTCACGCTCTCTCCCTCCCACTCATCTCTTTCCCACTCATCTCTTTCGCAAGCTTGCATTTTTTGTTCCTGTTACTGAGGATCACGCTATCGTCACCGCAGCGATGCGAGGAGATCGTCGGCTTCGGCCATGGCGGCGGCATCCGCAGGAGGCTTGGGCGGGCCTTGGGATGGGCGGGGCGGGGCAGGACGCAGCGGGGCAGCAGGGCGCGGTGGGGGGCCACCGGGACGCGGCGGGCCGGACGGGCGGGGAGGCGTCATAGGTCGGGTTGTGAGCGAGATCTTGCGTGGGACGGCCGGCTTGGCAGCAGTGAGTGCCGCCAGCGACCGACCGCTGGATTTGGGCGCCGACTTGGACGGCCGCGGAGGCCCCGAGAGGTCTGCGAGCATATCATCGGCCTCAGCCAAGGTAGTAAGGCCAGGCTTGGGCGGACCAGACGATGTGGGCTTGGGTGGACCGGCGGCGCGGAGCGAGGCCATCAGGTCATCGGCCTCGGCCATGGTGGTCAAGCCTGGTGTGGGCGGACCTGCTGATGTGGGCTTGGGCGGACCGGCGGCGCGGAGCGAGGCCATCAGGTCATCGGCCTCGGCCATGGTGGTCAGGCCTGGTGTGGGCGGACCTGCTGATGTGGGCTTGGGCGGACCGGCGCCGCGGAGCGAGGCCATCAGGTCGTCGGCCTCGGCCATGGTGGTCAGGCCTGGTGTGGGCGGACCTGCTGATGTGGGCTTGGGCGGACCGGCGCCACGGAGCGAGGCCATCAAGTCGTCGGCCTCGGCCATTGTGGTGAGGCCGGGATTCGGCGGGCCGGAGGACTTGGGCTTGGGCGGACCAGCGCCCCGGAGTGAGGCCATCAAGTTGTCGGCCTCAGCCATTGTGGTGAGGCCGGGATTCGGCGGGCCGGAAGACTTGGGCTTGGGCGGGCCAGCACCATGGAGCGATGCGAGCATATTGTCAGCTTCGGCCATAGTAGTGAGGCCGGGATTCGGCGGGCCGGATGTCTTCCGCGGCGGCGGCGGCCCATGGGAGGCAGCTGCAGGCGGACGGGCGATTGAGGCCATGAGAGCATCAGTCTCCTCGAGGGCCTGGGCGACGACTGCACCAGGAAGTGGCGGGCCACGGGCTTCGGGACGCGGCGGGCCTACAAGGGTCTGCGACCGCGGAGGGCGGACGACGGCCGCAGCGGCCGGATCGTCTGCAGAAAACGAGGTTGGGCGGTCGATGCGCGAGCTGCCGCTTGACCCGGATGGGGTTATCATAGCAGCCTTCAGAAGCTCGTCATCTGATCCTAGAGCCGGCGGCGGACCAAGCGAGCTAAGCGCTGGCGGCGGGCCAAGTGAGCCGAGTGACGAGGGCGGGCTCGGCGTCCCTGACGCATCGCCTGTATTGAGCGCCATGCCGTTATCCGTCCGATTGACAATCGGCGGCGGCGGCTGGACCTCGGTCTTGGATGGCTTGTGCGTTGCCTTGGACTTTCTTCTCTTGGCGGTACTCGAAGACGAGGACGATGAAGACGACGAGCCCGAAGACGAGTCGGAGGACGAGTCGGAGCCCGAGGACGATGAGCTTGATCCCGATCCCGATCCCGATACAGAGGCCGAGCTGGATGACGACGAGCCAGACGAGAGTGTACCTGACGCCGACTTGGGCTGCGACTTGGACTTGGACTTGGACTTAGACTTGGGAGAGGTAGCGGCAGCGGCGGGCGCGGCTGTGGTGCTTCGGCAGCAGTGGCGGCGGCGACTGCGGCAAGCGAGGCCTGTCGGGCAGCCTCGACCTGTGCGTGTGCGGCCTCTGCAGCGGCAGCAGCGGTGGGATCGGCCGAGTCGGAGAACGACTTGTGACGAGGGATGTGGATGACGGACGAGGGGAGGAGATGGTGGTCCGGGTCTGCGCCTGCGGTGCGAACAACGGCCCAGCCATCCTGGTTGTGAAAATGCGAATGACGTGGATGGCGGTGCCTGCAGCTAGGGAGAACGGCTTAGGAAAGGCCTTGGAGTCTTCGGAGAGGGCATAGTCAGTGGCGAGCGAGGCGTCAAAGCCAGCAGTGCGCGCAAAGGAGTGGGTGGCGGCACGCAAGGAGGTGAACGAGTCGTCCATGCTGGAGACGGCCGGGGCGAGGTAGATGCGGAGAGCGTGGAAGGTCGAGTAGACCTGGCTGGCGACCTTGACAATGTCCGAACCAAACGAGGCGGCACGGGTGGCTTCAGCTTTGTCTGCGGCGCCGATTTGCGCAGGGTACATGGAGCGGACCTCTGCAGCGAGGGCGGCGACACGCTCTTCAGCTTCGGCCGCGGCGGTGATGTTCGACTTTGCACGGGCCTTGACAACCTTGTCATTCCATTTGACCTGGTCGCGCTGCGCCGAGCTCACGAGGGCAGAAATGCGCTTGAGCACGGCCGTGGCCTTGCCGGTATGGCGCGAGAGCGGGCCGGAGGCGAGTTGGCCGAGCACAACCGAGGCGGCTTCGTAGTCCTCGGCAACTTTGGCGAGGGCGGCGACGAGCTCAGCCCAGCCTCGAGAGTGCGACGAGTCCTCCTCGGTGGCGGCAAAGCCCGAGGAGTCTGCGGCGGCGGCGGCCTTGCGCAGCTTCTTCGAGTAGTCTGAAAAGTACGAGGCGAGTTTGGTGCCAATGTAGTGGAGGGCCTGCGACTCGCCGACGCCAGCTGTGAGGATGGCAATGGCGCGATCGATCTCGGTTGTCGGGTTGGCGCCGGCAGCGAGGGCGTCACGGAGCGCAGCCGGTGGAATGAGCTGTGGGGCGAGGCGAGTGAGGTCGGGGGCCTTGTTGAGAGCGGCGGCGGCCATCTCCAAGGTGGTGAGCAGCTTGCGAAAGAGCTGTAGGAGGAGTGACTTGCGCTTCATGTTCCATTTGTCAAACGAGTTGGTAATTTCTGCGCCTTCGACGACAAAGGCGTAGCGAAAGGCCATGACGTGAGCGCGGGTGGCTTCGGCGGCGGCCTCTGCGGTGGCAAGTGAGGCCTCGAGTTTGGCCTGCTTCTTGGTTGCCTTCTTCTTCTCCTTCTCTGAGCCCGATTCGACCAGCTGGCGATTGGCGAGCGCGGCGGTGGCCGACTTGCGCAACGCGGCGTCGATCTTCTCCAGCGTATCCTCGAGCTTGCGCTTCTCCTTGGCTTGCTTTGCCACACGTTTGCTCAGCTGGGCGAGCTCGTCTGCCAGTTCGACCGACGAGTGGGCGAGGACAGTGACGACGTACTCTTCCATGGTACCCACTGAGCGAGCCATCTCCTCTGACGCTGCGGTCAGGTGCGACGAGAGGCCTGACCAAGCAGGTGAGACGGTGACACCGCGAACACCAGCGTTGACCAGAGCCTCTGCCCTCTCAGCTGTTCCCGCAACAGCCACTGTCGCCGCCTTTTCCATCTTGCGATGCAGCTGCAATTGAACCTGATACACTTTGTCGAACAGGGCAGAGACGTCCGACAGCGCCTTGACTGTCTTCCGCCCGTCTGTCACCGCCACCTCCAACTCATCCTGTGGTAGTGTTCCCCACCAGCAAGCGACATGACATGGCACATAGACATCATCATAGGCTGTACGTAAGTCGTAGCGGGAAGGGGTACGGGGGAGGGGGGGGAGGGAGGGGGGTACGGGGGAGGGGGAAGGCGTGGCAGCGTTCGCAAAAATCAGGTTCTGCGACATGCAGCGGCAACGATAAAATGACGTTAACATAATGGTGGTCAATTAAATGACAATAGGGTAATGGTTGGAAATGGCAAGAGAATGAGGTGGGCACGTGCGTTGGGTTGGCTGGTTGGTTGTAGGGAGTGGATGAGGGAGGGAGGGGGGAGGAGGAGGGGGAGGAGGGGGAGGAATATTGGGGCGTACCATGAGTCGGGTGCACCGACGTCTGAAGTCGATGGGCTCTTCCATGGTGGGGGGTGGAGTGGTGGTAGGGAGAGGTATGTGAGCGAGGGGTGGTGGCTGGTGGTGGAGTGGTGCGGCTGCAGAAGTGTTGGCCGTATTGAGAGCAACATTGGCTGGAGGGCTTCATCGTGGAGAAGCGGCTTTCGGGCCGAGAATGGTACTACAGATGATTCATTGCCAGTTGGATGTGGTTGAGGCTTGAGGTTGAATACTACGGGCTTGAGGAGGTGGCTGATGAAGAGGCTGAGGGCGAGTCGGGCTCAAAGTCGGGCTCGTAGGCCGGATCAGAGCCGGTGAGGACGGCCGATTGGAAGGCCGAGTACGAGGCAAGGCGGGCTTCGAGATCCAAGGCTGTAGCGGGAGAAGCGGTCGCGGCAGCAGCGGTGGGTGATGGGGCGGAACGCTCCGGTGAGGGCGAGGGCGGGGCGCGGTTGATGGCGCATGATGTGTTCTCGGGATCGGCGAGTGCGGTGGTGTAGGAGAGTGACTGGGCGTGGAGGGCGGCGGTATTTGCGCGCGACATAAGGAGGGCGGCCTCGTTCTTGTAGTGCTCGAGAGCGGCCTTTGCCTTGCGAATCTTGCGGCGGGCGTCGGCCTTGTCGGCCATGGCGGAGCGTGGCTCCGAGTCTGCCGCCACCGATGCCTTGGCGGCGGCAGCAGCAGCGGCGGCGCGCTCCTTGCGGACCTGGGCGGCAGAGGCCTCCTGGACGCGGTCGATCTCGGCAAGGGCGGCAGTGGCCTCGAGCTGGGCACGCGTGACAACAAGGTCGTAGTCTCTGCGGAGCTTGGCGTATGCCGCCTGAGCCGCCTCCAGCTCGGCCTCGAGCGAGCGGATGCGGAGCCTGTAGGGCGTCTCGAGCTCGTCGGCGAGGCGGATGCGGAGAAGATCAAGCTCATGCGGCGAGAGGACCTGGGCAGCAAGAGCCTCAAACTCTGTGCCCTTGGCCTCGAGCTCGGCACGGAGGCGCGAGAAGGCGGCCTGCGAGGCCAGCTCTGTCTCAAGGCCGGCGGCCTTGGCCTCGCCCAGCGCAGCGGTCAGCTTGTCGTTGGCCTCGGCGAGAGCCTCATGGGCAGCTTGCAGGTCAGCAAAGTTCCGTCGATACTCGGCATTCTCCTCGCGCAGTCGGGCGACCACAGAAATGGTCTGCTGTAGTGTGGACGCGTCGTCCATGGTCCGGTGGAAGGAGGAGGGTGGGGGGTGGGGGGGGTGGGAGGCGTGGGTGAGGTGGAGTGGCGGTGGCGCGAAAACGGTGGTCACGAGAGAGGGGACGGGGGAATGTACGATTTGCGTGTGCGCAGAAAAGTTGGCTGGCAAGGAACAGGCTTTTGGGGTGGGGTGGACTGGCGGGCGAAATGTTGCGCAGACGCAGAATGGTGGCATCTGTGCCGCATACTCGTCGATCAACGACGGGCTCAGGGGAGGCGTGGAGGGGGCGGGGGTAGCTGGACGAGAACGAGGACGACGAGGACGACGAGGACGACGGCTGGTGTTGTGGAAGGTTGCTAGAGGGCCCGCCATGGCGAGCCGTAGTCGCCAGCAAGAGCCGGCAAGGAAAGGGCCGAGCCCGAGTCGGAGCCGGGCCTCGAGACCGAGTCGTCGTCGTCGGGCGCCAAGGACGGGCGATGGCGATGGCGGCAGGAGAGTGGCAGCGAGTCCATACGACACGGGAGATTACGAGGTGAGGTGGGGCGGGGCTGAGGTCAATGGCAAGAGCAAGAGCAAGAGCAAGAGCAAGAGCAAGGGAAGGAGCCGGAAGTCGCGAGGTGATGATGGTCGGCGAGGCGGCGGAGAGCTCGCCGGCCCGCTGTTTGTAGCCGAAGTGACCGAGGCGTTCCGGGCCAAGGTGGCACGGCTGAAGGCGAAGCAGGCGAAGCAGGTGGCAGCGATGCGTGAGGTCTCGCTCGCAGCGTACCAGCGACTGCACGCGCGGTACAAGGCGAAGCAGGAGAAGATCCGCGCCGATGCCGAGCGCAACGGTGCAGTCTCACAAGCATCCAAGGCCAAGATGGCCAAGATGCGGGCGCAGCGCGATGAGGCGCGGGAGGCAGGTGCGGCGCGAAAGAAGGCGCTGGCCAAGGCCGAGCGCGAGACCAAGCGCGAGCGGATGGCGCGAAAAGAGGCCGAGGGCAGGCTGGAGTCGGCGCTGGCGGCCCGCGACGCCTACCGCCACGAGGTCGCGGCTGTCTCGGAGCAGCTGGAGAGTGCCAAGGCTGAGTTTGACGCTCAGCTTCGACACCTGGCGTCGGGAGCGTCGTCCGATGCCACCCTGGCCGCTCGCGAGATGCAGCGGATGCGCGAGGCGCACGAAAGGCAGATCGCGCAATGGCGCGAGCGGCTGCGGCTCAAGGACGCTGAGAATGAGTCGGACAAGCTCGTAGCAGGTATGGCTGAGATGCGGAGCTCGTACGAGGCTGAGCTAGCGGCCGTCACCGCCCAGCTGGAGGCCGCCAACGAGAGCGTGGCGCGGCTCGAGCTTGACGTCGCCCGCGCCCACGAGGCGCTCGCCGAAGCGCGTGCCGCCAGCGACGCCCATCTGCGGCAGGCCGCACAGATTGCCGGCGCCGAGTCGAAGCTCGCGCGATACCGCGAGGTTGTGGTGCGGCTCCTCGCTGAGCCCGGGATGAGCGTGAGCGAGGCCGAGGTCGGCGAGTGGATGGCCGGCGCCGAGATCCCGCCGCCACCGCCGCCACCGCCTGTAGGGCAGGTTGTGGTGAGGGTGGAGGAGAGGGCTGTGGTGGAGAATGCCAAGATGGAGGCTAAGGTGGAGGTGGATGCTGAGGCCGAGGCGAAGGCTGAGGCTGAGGCTGAAGCGAAGGCGAGAGTCGAGGCTGAAGCAAAGTCTGAGGCTGAAGCAAAGGCAAAGGCAGATGCTAAGGCAAAGGTCGAGGCTGAAGCGAAGGCTGAGGCTGAAGCGAAGGCGAAGGCGAAGGCTGAGGCTGAAGCAAAGGCGAAGGCTGAAGCGAAGGCGATGGCCGAGGCTGAAGCAAAGGCTGAGGCTGAAGCAAAGGCGAAGGCTGAGGCTGAGGCTGAAGCAAAGGCTGAGGCTGAAGCAAAGGCGAAGGCCGAGGCTGAGGCTGAAGCAAAGGCGAAGGCTGAAGCAAAGTCTGAGGCTGAAGCAAAGGCAAAGGCAGATGCTAAGGCAAAGGTCGAGGCTGAAGCGAAGGCGAAGGCTGAGGCTGAAGCGAAGGCGAAGGCGGAGGCTGAGGCTGAAGCGAAGGCGAGGGTCGAGGCTGAAGCAAAGTCTGAGGCTGAAGCAAAGGCAAAGGCAGATGCAAAGGCGATGGCCGAGGCTGAAGCGAAGGCGAAGGCTGAAGCGAAGGCCGAGGCTGAAGCAAAGGCGATGGCCGAGGCGAAGGCGAAGGCTGAAGCGAAGGCGAAGGCTGAAGCGAAGGCGAAGGCTGAAGCGAAGGCGATGGCCGAGGCTGAAGCAAAGGCGAAGGCTGAGGCTGAAGCAAAGGCGAAGGCTGAGGCTGAGGCTGAAGCAAAGGCGAAGGCCGAGGCTGAGGCTGAAGCAAAGGCGAAGGCCGAGGCAAAGGCAAAGGCTGAAGCAAAGGCGGAGGCCGAAACTGAGACAGAGGCCGAGGCTGAAGCAAAGGCTGAAGCAAAGGCGGAGGCCGAAGCTGAGACAGAGGCCGAGTCCGATGCACCACAATCGCTGTTTGGTGCAAGTGTGGCCCGCAAGCGCCCACAAGCGCCGCCGCCTTCTTCTGATCCGGGCCGCTGCTCGGCGGACGGATGTGACTGCAGCGAGTTCACGTCCTCACCGTTTGGCTTCAAGAAATCGCAGTGCGTCACATGTTTCCACACCAAGGACGACCACTGCGGGTCATCGCCTGCAACTGACGCTGCTCCAGCACCCGCAACTGCGGCTGCAAAGGCAGATCCCGAGCCCGCATCCGAGCCTGGGCCCGAGCCTGAACCCAAGTCTGCTTCTCCCACAGAGACATCCGCAGACGCCGACGTGGCCGCGCTACTGGCCGGTCTCGAGGACGACGACGATGACGACGATGATGGCGGTGACGACGGCGGCGCCGATCTCGCGGCTCTGCTGGCTGCTTCCGCTGGTGATGACGAGCCTGAAGCGAAACCCGCCCCCGCACCGAAGACCAAGCCTCCGCCACCACCAGGCCCGCCGCCGCCTGAGCCTGCTTCTCCCGCAGAAGCATCCGCAGACGCCGACGTGGCCGCGCTACTGGCCGGTCTCGAGGACGACGACGATGACGACGATGATGGCGGTGACGACGGCGGCGCCGATCTCGCGGCTCTGCTGGCTGCTTCCGCTGGTGATGACGAGCCTGAAGCGAAACCCAAGCCGCCACCGCCGCCTGGCCCTCCACCGCCGGTGCGGGCCCCGGCGCGGGTGATGATGGCAGTGACAATGACGGCGGCGACGACCTTGCTGCTCTGCTGGCTGCCGCTGGTGATGATAAGCGCGAGGCGAAACCCAAGCCGCCGCCGCCGCCCGGCCCTCCGCCGCCAGAGCTGAAAGCCGCGGAAACGACTGGGGACGACAATATTGCGGCGCTCCTCGACGGTCTGGAGAACGACGATGACGATGATGACGATGGTGGTGACGATCTTGCAGCTCTCCTCGCTGCCGCTGGTGGCGACGACAATGATGACGATGACGATGGTGGTGACGATCTTGCTGCTCTCCTCGCTGCCGCTGGTAGCGACAACGACGACGACGGTGACGATGACGACATGGCTGCCCTCCTTGCCGGCCTCGAAGACGACGCCGACGACAACGACGACGCCCATGATCTCGCCGCTCTCCTCACTGCCGCAGAGGGCAGCACGTCTGCCATCGATCCCATCGCTGCTGGCGATTCCCTTCTCGCCGAGCTTGACGACTGGTAGTCGAGAGAATACACACAGATGAAATCCGACTGCGGCGTCAGCCGCCCCGCCCCCCTAGCGCCGAGCACCAACTGGTTCGTGTCAGTCGCGTCAAACTCTGCTCGCGGGTCGTCACAGCCGAAGGGCATTCATTGGCAAGGGCAAGGACGTCACGAGCCAACCATGGCGCGCCGCAAGCGCAAACGCTCAGACAAGTCACAACTCGAGGCTCCATCTGGCGCCAACAAGCTGCCCCATGCCGGTGGCCCGGGTCGGGGTCGCGGTCGGGGTCGCGGTGGGGGTCGGGGTCGGGGTCGGGGTCGGGGTCGGGGTCGGGGTCGCGGACGCGGACGCGGTCGGGGTCGGGGTCAGAGTCAGAGCAAAGCTGGCTCGAGCTCTGTCGCAGGACCAAGCGTATCAAAGTCCGAGAAGGGCAAGTCGGATGTCGAGAACTCGACAGATGGTAGCCATGGCGATGGCAACGAGGGCAATCGGATGGTCGGCAGTGATCGGCTTGCTGCGGCTGACAGAGATGGCCGTGGTGTGGAGCACTTGGTGTGCTCAATGTGCGAGGTGAAGGCGTGCGCGGATGATATCGCTGAGCACTCGCGTTGGGTCCACTCTGGCGAGAAGCGGATCACCAAGGCCGAGATCAACCAGCTGCCGCTGTTCAGCATGCGCGAGGCACGAGGCTCCATCGTGGTCATCGAGACCGTGGCCCAGATGCGTGCAGCGTGTGCAAGCATGGCCAAGGCTGTTGCGAGCGGTTCGCTTACCGCTGTTGGCTTTGATACCGAGTGGCGGCCCAACTTTCGCAAGGGCGCCAAGCCGAACCCAGTGGCACTCGTCCAGATCACCCGCGACGACTACGCTCTCACGTATCTGTTCCCTGTTGGCCGGTTGCGGACGCTCGGGCCGCTCATCCCGCTCTTTGAGGAACCGCGCCTCACCAAGTACGCCGTCGGTGTCGCCTCGGATCTGCACAAGCTCCGCCAGCAGGCCCAGTTTACTCCAGCCGGCTTTGTCGACATCTCGACCATGGCCAGTGACGTCGGTTTTACCTCGGTTTCGCTCCGCGGCCTCGTTGCCCTCATCTTTGGCCTTCGCATTGGCAAGGGCGCGCAGATGTCCAACTGGGCGGCATGGCCGCTCAAGGCCAAGCAGATCTCCTACGCCGCCGCCGACTCGTTCTGCTCGCTCCATCTGGGCCGTTTCTTTGACCGCTCCTGCCTCTATCGCAGCTCCCTCTACGAAGCCAGCCACTTTGATCTCCCCGAATCGTCCTTTCCCTAACCTCGCCTCGCCTCGCCTCGCGCCCTCCTGCACCCGTTCATGTGAGGATAGCCTCATCACCGCTCGGGCACAATCATATACTCTCTCGTACAAACAATGGTACGCTTGCTTCAAAATCTTAGTGCCCTTGTTCCGTCGTTCGCTCATCGCTCAATCAATCGTTCCTCCGTTTGTTGCCGTCTTCAATTATTTGCGCACTTTGCATAATCGTCAAACGAGTCGTGAAGCAACAGCTCTCTGACCAACACAATGGTACGATACCACGACGAGGGACCAGGGCACGAAGCCCTTCCCCCCTCCCTTCCCCCCTCCCTCCCCGGCCGCCTACCACGTACACACACACACACACACACTGTCCCCCACCAGTATCCCCCCTCTGTACCCTTCGTCAAGCTGTTCCAGCTGTGGCTTGGGTTGCGGTGGGTGTGATGAGCGAGGTCGGGCGGTGGTGGTCTGATGGGAGAGCATTGCCAGGGTACCAATCCCACCCTTAGCCATACGAGGACTACTTCCACCACCCTACGGACACACTCTGTCTACGCCATACCTATACCCTTGCTCTTAGTCCCTCCCTTGCTCTCGCTCCTTCCTCCATCCCCTTGAACTTGCCTCCCTCTACCAACCACACCCCCTCCCCGCCCACGTATTTTTACTCTTTGGTTTTGTATGACTTTGTCCCCCCACACCCACACCCACACCCACACCCACCTCCGCCAAGTCATACACACACTCCCTCCCCCCCCCCCTCCCCTCCCCCTTCATACCAATACTCCCTCCTCCGTCCACTCACTCTCTCTCTCCTCTTGAATCCGCGCCTCGCTTGTCCCCCTCCCCTCCTCGAACAACAACTCGGTCGCTCTCGTGTCATCGACCCTCCCGTCCGCCCTCTCTCCCCCCTTCTCCCTCTGACTTGTGTCTGTGTTTATGTTTGTATGGTTGTTACCTGGTGTAGGCTGCCCACAAGCGTCTTAAGACCAAGAAGATCCTCGCCAAGAAGGCCCGGCAGAACCGCCCGCTCCCGCAGTGGATCCGCCTCCGGACCGGCAACAAGATCCGGTACAACGCCAAGCGCCGCCACTGGCGCCGCACCAAGCTCAACATCTAAGTCAGCTCATGGAGTGTCCTAGATAAACAGAGCGTGCTGCCATATCCCTTGCCTCTCTAGCCTCCCCTCCCCCTACTCTCCGTCGCGGTTGTCCCTTGTCATGCTCCCACCACCGCCGTGCTGATGACCAGTCGCCCGCATCGACCCCCGATAGCGATCATGGCATGAGTCTGAAGCCGACATCATTAGCGGCCCTGCCAGCTGGATGCGCTCTGCCAGTCCCGATGTCTCCGATGTGCGGACTCTGTCACCGCAAATGAGCCACTGCAGCAGCAGTGGCAACAGAAGACACACACGTGACTCGCACGCAGCTGCGCCATGCTCTTGCACCTTAGCTCTGCGGCGGGGACGACCATGGCTGTATTCATGATCATTGCAGCACTCGGAGTGGTGAGTGCAACCACAAGCATGGGTCAAGCCCAACTCGTACCGCCGCCAGATGATCTGCTCGCTGCTGTTGCCCATGACCAACCTCTGTGGAGCCGTGAGCGTGTCCACTCTTTTGCGGAAATTATGATTAATCGCAAAGTCCTCGATGTCGAGTACGCGGAGGAGGCTGATATGCCAAAGATGGAGTTCGAGAGTGTCAACTGTCCACGGTTGACTCAGCGCTCACCGCCGGATCATGTTGGCGTGGTCAAGCCGGTGGACATTGCTGCTATGGGCGCCATCGGCGACTCGTTCACCACGGCCTCCAACGCGCTCTCGACCTCGTGGTTCGATCTCAACTGGTTTCCCGGCGTGGCATGGTCGATGGGTGCCGACGAGGGCGTTATTTCGGCATACAACATCATGAAGGCGATCGGAAGGCCGGATGTGGTGGGCGGCTCGGTCGGTGTCGGCGACGTCGGCGCCAACATGCACTGCAACCAGGCCGTGGCCGGCTCGCACGTCCAGGCCCTCATCAACCAGACCTACGCCCTCATCGACGCCTTCAAGGCCGAGCTCAATGAGACTGGATACGCGACCGAGTGGAAGACAGTCTCTGTCTACATCGGCGGCAACAACCTATGCGATTACTGCCGCAAGCCCGGCCCCAACACGCCCGAGGTCTACGAGCTCAATCTGCGCGCCGCCTTTGACGTCCTCGCCACCATTCCACGGGTCATTGTCTCGGTTGTACCCATTGTGGACGGCACACAGATGTGCCCGCTGATGGGTCCGTTCTGTCACATCGCGCTCGACAAGCTCTGCCCGTGCTTCATCTCGTCCAACGCCACCGAGCGGGCGATTACTCTGCAAGGTGTCGCTGCCTACAACTCGGCCATGCAGGTTGTGGTCAACGATTACAACGCCAAGACCGGATCGGACTGGGCCGCCGTCTTCCAGCCGTTTTTTGCCGGCCTCCGCGTACCGGAGGGTAAGGCCGGCAAGGCCTGGTTCGACCGCGCAGACTGCTTCCACCCGTCGGCTGTCCCCGGCCACAAGATGATCGGCATCGGCATGTGGAACAACATGATCTCGCCTCTTGGCGCAAAGGAGACTCTCACGCCTGAGACCACGCTCAAGTGCCCCACCGACGCCGACTACATCTACACTGCCAAAACGCCCGCGACCACGGTGTAGTGCCATCACTCGGCACTGTCCGCGACGAGATACTGGCGGGCCGTGGCATGCGTATTTTAAAGACAGCGGCAGCCAAGTAATTGGATCGAGGGCCGCAGGCCTAGCACAAGATCAGCCATGAGCTGGAGGCGTCGGCTGCGTGGCTAATGCAGCAGCAGCGCGGTTTGGGATTGACCCAGCCGCCGATGTCGCAGCGCTGACTGCGGCGCTCCAGGCGACATCGCGCGCATTTCCGCCGTCCTATCGGTGGCACGAGGACTTTACCCTCAAGTTTCTTCTCAATCTGTTTGACGTGGCACAGGAGCTGGACCAGTGACGCCGCAGCAATAGCAAGCAGGCTGGGGATGGCTGTCTTTATCGGCACCGACGATCGCCACAGCCCGTACGACAGTGCAGGATGTGGCGGTCGGGGCAAAGCAAGACTAGGCTACGACGCAACTAAGAGGCCAGGACGATTAGAGGAGGGCGGCGATAGCAGCGATGGTGGCGACGACAAAGGTGGCAGCAACCGAGGGGATGGCGGTGAAGGCGGCCGAAGTCGACGGCTTGGTCGCGGCCTCGCCGTGGTTGTCGGTCATGACAACAGAGAGCTTGCCAGTCGAGTCGGCAGTAATGGCGGCATAGTAGGCCTTGCCCTTGAGAGCGTTCAGCTGGGCGCCGGTGATCTCAAAGGCGGGGATGCTGGAGGTGCCGTTGACGGCCTCCCAGGTGAAGGAGATCTTCGCCGCGGTGCCGGAAAGGGTGGCAGCAATAGCGCTACCGTAGGCGACGGTGCCATCGCGCGAGCCGGCAGACGACGCAACCACACCAGCGGTGACACCGTAGTTGACCGTGTACATCTTGAAGCCGCTAGAGTCGGGCGCGCCGGAAAGGACGTCGACGTCGACGGTGGTGTCAGCCGGGCCAGTCTTGCCAAAGACAAAGACGCGGTCGGTGAGGGCAAGCGATGCGGTGGCAGTGGCGACAGAGGCACCGGCAGCAGTCACGTTGATCTGGACGTTCGAGCCGATGGGGCCGTCCTCGACAAAGGCGCACGCGCCGTTGGTGAGGGCGGTGGTCTGGGCGGTGGTGTTGGTGTCGGACAGCTCGACAATAATCGAGGAGGGGCCAGCGGCCGAGTAGTAGCACACAGCCGTGCCGTGATGGGCAGCGACAGCGGCAACGAGCGCAACAAGCACAGTAGCAAAGACAACAAAGTTCATCTTGGTAATAGTGTTGAGTGTGGTGGGGTGCGAAGAGTTGCCGATGATGTGGAAGGGCGGCGACCTGGCTTGGTTGCTTCGTACATTTTTTCAATTCCGCCGCGTCAACCGAACTCCCGCACCTCTGCCTCCTCGGCCACATGGCGACCTGGACGTGTAAGGCGAGAGAGAGGCAGGTACCAGCATTGCGTGGGAGAGGCCTGAGTGTAACAAGAAAGCATGCAGGAGGACAGTGGACAGAACGGGGTCTGCCGCGCCATTGGCTGCGGGCTGTTGCCCCGTGCTCACAGCCCACGTGGTCTGCTGCGCATGCGTTGTGATTGGCGCACGAGGACAACTTTGTGTCAATTGATGGCGCCATCAGTCATGGCCGTGACACTTGCCGCGCAGATATTGACGACGACGACCAGATGGTGAGGGAATGTGGCGAGCACACACGTCGACCCAATTTGTTGTGGTTTGCCGTTGTTGTGAACGCGACGTGGGCACCTGCAGCCGGCTGGCGATGATTGCAATGACTGACTGCAATGACTGAGCGGCAGGCTACGGACGTGGACATCACGTGTCTGGCGAGCAATCATGTGTATCTTAAGCAAGGTAATCCATATACATATACATGCCGCCAACATGGAACAGTCCGTTCTCAGGCATGCTAGCGTGGAAGACCATAACGTGCGAGAGGCAAGACGTCAAGAAACCACACAAAAAACGAGGCGCACATGTGGAAATGGCCGCCATGACGGAGACGTGCCACGTGATCCCCCACGAGACTCGGTGGGGAGAACGTAGACCCGACTCTTTAGAAGCATGACATGGTCACATGCTGTGAAAGTAGCCATAGTCATGGCATGTGTTATGGCTATGGTACTGGGTACGGATGTGGCTGTGGTGGGCGAGAGGCGTGCATTGGCCGAGGGCCAGGCGGAGGAGGTGGCGGTGGCATGGGAGGCGCTGCCCGAACCGCCGCACGAGTTTGTGACCATGATTGCCAACGAGTACCGATACTTGGAGCCGACAGAGGTGATGTATGTGGCCAAAGCCTTCTTCAATCGCAAGCATCTGGATCCTGATTATGATGATGAACTGATCGAGGCTGTGGCTGTGGAGAGGAGCCATCGCCGTGGTGACGGTGATCGGTCGGCTCGCTCCGGTCGGGAAGCTGCGATGAGGCTTGGTGGTGGGGTGGAGATGAGCTGCCAGCGGCTGACGCAGCGGTCACCGCCGGATCATGTGGGGCTGGTCAAGCCGGTGGACATTGCAGCCATGGGTGCGATTGGTGACTCGTTTACGGTGGCGTCCAACGCGCTGTCGACGACGTGGCTCAACATGAACTGGTTCCCAGGCCTGTCGTGGTCGATGGGTGCAGACGAGGGCACCATGTCGGCATACAACATGATGCGAGCCACGGGTCGGCCGGATGTGGTGGGCGGGTCTGTTGGCGTCGGCGACGTCGGCGCCAACATGCACTGCAATCAGGCGATTGCCGGCTCGACGGTGCAAGACATGCCGAACCAGACGTACGCGCTGATCGAGGCGTTCAAGACGCAGCTCAACGAGACCGGGTATGCAACCGAGTGGAAGACAGTGACTGTGTTTATTGGCGGCAACAACCTGTGTCAGTACTGCAAGAAGCCCGGCCCCAACTCGCCGCAGGTGTACGAGGCCGGCCTCCGGGCGGCATTCGATGTTCTCGCCACCATTCCGCGAGTCATTGTCTCGATTGTGCCGATTTTTGACGGGACGCAGCTTCGCGAGTTCATGGGTCCCTTCTGCCACCTCGTACTCGACAAGCTCTGCCCGTGCTTCATCTCGTCCGACGATGGGGTGCTGGAGCAGTCGCGACACAACATCGCGACGTTCAACGGCATCATGGAGGACATTGTGGCCGAGTACAACAACCAGACCGGCTCGGACTGGGCGGCAGTCTTCCAGTCATACCTCGCGGGTCTCCGCGTTCCGCACGGCGAGGCTGGCAAGGAGTGGCTCTCCCGCGCCGATTGCTTCCACCCGTCTGGCCACCGCGGGCAGCCGATGATCGGCATGGGCATGTGGAACTCGATGATTTCACCCGTCGGCGCCAAGCCGACGCTCACCCCTGAGACAACTCTCAAGTGCCCTACCGATGACGACTACCTCTTCACGCCCAAGACATTGCCGTCCAAGATCGTGACGTCCAAAGGCAAGGCTGCGCCGTGAAGGATGGATGACCAGCCAGCCGACCGACCACACGGCAACGATGCGACTCCACACATGGAGCGATTGAACGCACCTTTGCAGGACCTTGAGAGCACCTCCCCCGTGTGACCAGAGAGGGACCAAGGTTGCGATGCGGGGAGGGGGGCGATGATCAGCCGGTTGGCGCAGGTTGGTGGCTTGGTTGACTTACGCCAGTTTGGGCACTTGTCGCGAGGAGGAGGAGAGATGGGTCCAGGGATGAAGGGATGGAGTATGGGAGACAGAGTAGCAGTGGCAGTGGTGGTGATGGTGGGCATGGCGGTGGGCATGGTGGGTGGACATGAACGGTTGCTGTGGCCGCCGTCGCGTACGTGGTGTGCGGGAGGGAGGGGATGTGAGGCTGGTCTGCAGACAGTGCCCGGCCCATGGCCGCTGTCGGTATCGTGGAACACTGCCTGCGGGAATTGGGCATCGACATCGGATGATGTGGTTGTGGCGTGACGTGCCGGAAGGGGATCGGCTGTGGCGGGTCGGGGGGAGGGGGGAGGGGATCGGCTGCCGTGGAGGTTCTGTTCTGCACACACTCACTCTGCCTCTTCCCCCCCCCTCCTTGCGCACATGCACAGGATCGGGTACGTACCACTTTGGCGGTGGCTGCGATCCGTGGAAGATTGGCGATCCCAACCTAGAGTTTGTCCGCGCAGATAGTGTTCTGGAGATCAGGTTTACGGCCGAGTTTGCAGACAGCTCGGGGCCCGGCCCAGGTAGCTACGCCCCGACGGTGTGGATCTCGCTGGTGGCGGAGGCCGACGAGGCGGACATGGGCCTGTTTACCCATGTTATTGCCTCGTTCGAGCCGGAAGTCGTGACAAAGACGTTCAACGCGTCGCTCGGAGCTGACGTTGCATCTGTACGTGTGAGCCTTCCGCCGTCGGCGCCGCTCGGCCGGTACGTCTTGCACTGGCGGCTCGACGGGTGGTCCAACTGCGCCGACATCGCGATCGTGGCCGGGACCGTCCCGGGCCATGTCGCGGTGCCGCCTGCGGCACCTGCGCAGCACACCGGGCCGCTCATTGTGGTTGCCGTCGCCGCAGGGTTTATCATCGGTATTATTGTCCTCGTTACCGTCGGCTACAGCCGCACACAGCAGCAAGCTGCGCGCGCACCCGGCTGGTACTTGGACGAGCCCGAGTCGGACGAGCTGCCGACCGTTGTCGCACTCACGCGTCCGCTCTCGGCCTCGGACATCCTCGCTCCGCTTGTAGGACGTGGCATCCTGCCGGAGCGCGTCGAGTCTATGCTCTTTCCGCCCTCGCCGTCGGATGGCGGGTGGAGCGCGACATCATCGACGCGCTCGCGGACCAGGTCATCGCTGTCGTCATCAGCAACTTCGTGGTCGTGACATGGCGGCTCACGGCAACAGCGGATCGACTGCTGAGACTCGGTTGATCGACTCGGTGCCGGCGGCGCCATACGAAGCCCCCGTGTAGGCAAACGCCGTGGACGGCGCGCGCTCCTTGAAGAACCACTTGCGAAGAGTAAAGAAGGCAATGCCCGAGACGATTGCCCAAGCTGCGTCGGTGATGTACACGATGACAAACGCAGCGTCGCCATACTTTGAGGCGAAGAGACCGCCGTCTTGGGCCGGGAAGACGATGGCGCAGTGAACGGTGGAGACGATGAGGCCAAAGAAGATTGACCGGATGAGATAGTGCGGCCAGGTGAACGGGATGAGGTGGACGGCGCCCCACATGCCGCCCCATACCATCTTGTTGTCTGTTGACGCCGCCAAGCCGATCAACCGTCCACCATGTCAGCCAAGTTGAGCATGTCCGTCGCGCACACCACGCCGATCAGCCGTGCCAGTATCAACCGCATTCACCATGTCGGCCAAGTTGAGCATGTCCGTCGCGCACACCACGCCGATCATCCGCGCCAGGATCAACCGCATTCACCATGTCGGCCAAGTTGAGCATGTCCGTCGCGCACACCACGCCGATCAGCCGAACCATGTCCACGACGTCGACCACGTCCATCACGCCCACGACGTACACCCGGCCATCACCTGCCCCATAAGTCGCCCTCCTCCTCCCCCCCCCCCACCCCCTCCTCCCCCCCTCTCGACAACATACACAACCAGGCAACCTTGTACGGATGCAGAGGATTCAGAGTCACGCCCATGACCTTGTTGAGGCCGACCAACTCAAAGGCAGCTTGGACAAGAGCATTGGCAAGGCCACCGAGGGTACCTGAGCCATAGGCAAGAAAGACGAGAAAGACAAAGACACGTAGTTCCATGACGCACACGCACACACACACACACAATGAGAGAGATACACAATAGCCGTCTTCGGAATGTGCTTGTCTATGTAGTGGTGTGCTTGTGCTGCTTTTATTCCTCATCCCGTCCTCCCTGCTCCCCCCCCCCCCCTCCTCCTGCTCTCTCTTGCCCTCGCCCAGAGAGAGAAAGAGGGGAGACACGGCCAGTGGCAGGCACGCTTCGGTCGCTCTCCTTTTTTTCGACAGGATGGGGAGCTACCCGGTTTTTTTTTCAAGGGAGGGAGGGAAAACTCAAACTACTCAATTGCTGTGTTTAGGGTGGAGAGGAGGGACCGGATGAAACGGTAGGTTGGAGTGGATGGTTGCGTGTGTTGGTTGCTCGTGTGAGAGGGTGATTGGGCTTGAAATGGACTGTGTGAGAGGGGGTGGAGGTTTCTGATGCCGGTCAAGGTGTTTTTTCAACAGCAGCCATTGTCCCGCCGCCACTGCTACAAGGATACGCACGCCGTTTAACACACAAGCTCGCAAATAGAGAGAAAGACATACATGTACATTGCTCTACGCCTGTAGTACTATTTTGTGGATTGGAGGTGTCGTTCCTCCCTGACATGCCCGAGAACGGGCTCATCCCAGTTGGTGACAAGATCTGTGCACCGTGAATATTACGCGTCGGACGCCCCGTGTCCTCGCCATATCTGCTCACCCTCTGTGAAACAGCCATTTATGCGGTCGCCAGGTAGCAGTGGTGGGCTGTTTCACTCTGGTCGTCGTCAACATCTGCGCGGCAAGTGTGACGGCCATGACTGATGGCGCTGTCAGCTGACACAAAAGCTGTCCTCGTGCGCCAATCACAACGCATCACCGCCATCCTCTCGGTTGCTGCCACCTTTGTCGTCGCCACCATCGCTGCTATCGCCGCCCTCCTCTAATCGTCCTGGCGTCTTAGTTGCGTCGTAGCCTAGTCTTGCTTTGCCCCGACTGCCACATCCTGCACTGTCGTGTGGGCTGTGGCCATTGTCGGTGCCGATAAAGACAGCCAGCCATCCCCAGCCTACTTGCTAATGCTGCGGCGTCACTGGTCCAGCTCCTGCGCCACGTCAAACAGATTGAGAAGAAACCCGAGGGCAAAGTCCTCGTGCCGCCGATAGGACGGCGGAAAGGCGCGCGATGAGGCCTCTAGCGCCGCAGTCAGCGCGGCGACATCGGCGGCTGGGTTGAGCATGGGCAGAAACTCGGTGGCGTGCGAGGTCTCCCACTCGTCGCGGATCCGATCCGCGGCTTCTGCGCTCGAGCTGAGGTACATGATCTTGAGGATGGGGACAGGGACGACGTCGAGGGCGACAGCCGCCACGTCCGGCACCGGCAGCTCCACATTGGTGGCCAGCGCCGCATCGGCGGCAAAGAGCCACAAGAGCAGGAACCGTCCGTCGCCGTCGTCGGCGATAAAGCGGAAGACGCCGTGAGCAAGTGACGCGTCGCGCATGTCTGCCGCAGCTGCCAGCGCCACAGAGTGGGCGGCGTAGTAGCAGGACTCGGCGTGAGGATGCATGTGCTCCTCGTCGCGGAAGAGGCAGATGGCGTGCTTCCGCAGCGAGTACGAGCCGTCGCTCGACTGCGTGCCCAGCTGCCCGCCGCATGCCGTACACATCACGCCCAGCGGAGCCCCGCCCCGATTCGCCGCAACCTGCGTCACCACGCCCGGCATCAGCGTCGATGCGTGGACAACCACATAGTGCGGCGCGTCGAGGAGCAGGCCAGCCTCGCCGGCAAGCTCGCCCTTGGGCAGATGCGGGAAGGCGAGGCCGTCGTCGTCGTGGCAGATCCAATAGTCAATCATCTCGTGCCAGAACTGCGACGGCAGCGGCGCAACCTTGTGGAACAGCTGCTCGCCGTCAGGGAGCTCTGGTGTCAGCTCGGCGCCACACGCGCGGCACGCCAAGATCCCGGCCTCCTCCACCCGCGGAGCCGCTGTCAGCAGCATCATCTCCGTCTCCACACCGTTTGCCGCATCCTCAGCCGTCCGTGTCGGCGGCGCCGGGTCGTCCAGCGGCACCCGGATCACCACCGTGTCCTCGTCCTCGTTGAGCTTGGCCGAGGCGAGATGCGGCGAGACGAGGCAGTCAAGGTCGATCACCACCAGCTCGTTCCCGACGCCGTCCTCCTCGCCAACCACATCGTCGGCTCTAGCACCACGGACCGCCTTACCACAGCCTTGCACCCCGCTTTCATCGCTACTTCCCCCGCCGCCATCGTCGCTACAGCCAGTACTTCCCGCCGCCGTCGTCGCCAATCGTAGCTCGACGCGCGAGTCCTCCACCCGCATCCGCAACGACCGGACAGCCTCGGCGGGCGTGGTCCATACCAGCACCTGAACGGTGGAGATATGGCTCAGCTTCTCCACTACATACCACACACTCGTCTCCATTCTGCCGAGTGAGGTCTGCTCAACTCTCTCTCTGAGCTCAACCATACCTCCCCACAGGGTCCTCAACGACTCGAGTTGAGTCGATCCCTCAAGACGGGCGGGCAGCTCCTCCGCCACAATGCGCCCGTGGCTAGGGAGAGAGGACAAAGTGCGATGGGAGATAAAGTTGGATGGAGAAGTTGGAGATATGGTGGAGAATGGGCAGAGTGAGGAGAAGGGGAACGGATCAGAGGTTATGGCGGGTCATGGGTGGGGCTAGCGTCGGTGGGGTGGGCCGGTCAAGGGGAGGCAGGTGAGACAATGGACGAGAACAGCCTCTGCAGCCGCTCCACACACGTATCGCGAGCTGATTTCATGCTTACACTCATTGTGCCACTTGCCCCTAGGTCTGCACGGAACCGTGAGCAGGTTGTAAGGCTTGCGTCATTCGTATCGCCGTACTTGAGTTGCTGCATGGCGAGCCCGTGTTGCACTGCGGCTCATTGATCGCGGTGTCATAGGCAACATTAGTCGACGTTACGGCGTTTTGCGCCGCACATTTTGTGATCTTTGTCTGTATGGATGCAGAACGGGCCAGATGGCTGCAGGAGGGCATGTTGTGGTGTACATGCTCTCCCATGTAAACCTTGGCGGAGTTGGGGGACTGTCAACACTCGTCTCGCAGGCAATCTGACGATCGGAGGATGCTCGCGCGGGTCTCAGTCGGAGCACTGTCGGCCAGAGTGCGTTGGAGAGCCGCTGTGGGCAAAATAGAGCAGAAGTTGGGGCAAAGCATGTGTGCGAGCTCGCGAGTTACTGGTGAAGCAGCCGACGATGTGGTGGAGATGACGGCGAGCAAGGAGAACGATCGCGTGGCGATCATTGCGCTCAATCGGCGGACGGTCCGCAACGCGGTGGACGGCACGACGGCCCGGGCACTGCATGCTGCCTTTCTGGCCTTTGACAGCGACGATAGCTTTGACGTGGCGGTCCTGACTGGGAGCGGCGGCGTCTTCTGTGCCGGCGCCGATCTCCATTCGCTGAGCAACCCGCTGGTCCATCCCAAGACCGGCGTGGTGACCGAGCTTGCGGGCGTGGTGGGCAGGGCGGGGGCGGGGGAAGCGGAGGTCGACGACCCGACGCTTGGACCTATGGGTCCGACCCGGCTTACGCTGTCCAAGCCTGTGGTGGCTGCGGTGGACGGCCCTGCGGTGGCCGGCGGGATGGAGCTGGCGGCGTGGGCCTCGGTCCGTGTTGCGGCGTGGGACGCTGTTTTCGGCGTCTTCTGCCGGCGGTGGGGCGTTCCGCTCATCGACGGCGGCTCGTTCCGCCTCCCACGGCTTGTGGGTGGCTCCCGGGCAGCCGATCTCATCCTCACCGGGCGCCCGCTCTCCGGCGTCGAGGCCGAGGCCATCGGGTTTGTTAACCGTCTTGCGCCGGCTGGCGAGCCTTCTCTACCGACGGCTCTCGATCTCGCCTCAGCCATGACCCGCTCTCCGCAAGCTTGCCTTCGCTCGGACCTCGCATCATCACGATCGGCGTTTGACCCTGCCGATGCTGCTGAGCTCGACGCGATTGCCCGTGAGTACGAGCTCGGGCTCGCCACTATGCGCCAGACTCGACTTGGTGCTGTCGCCTCATTTGTCGATGGTGCCGGTCGGGGAGGAGCCCCGATCTGATCGTGTGTATGTGTATGTGTGTGTGTGTGTGTGTGTGATCGTGGCGGCGTGCGGGGAGCGGAGTGCGTGGACTTTGCGCATTGGCCGGCGAGTCGTGGCGGCTTGGCTGGGACTGCGGGTTGAGACACTTGGCTCGAGAATTCGACAGAGACAGCGATGGATATCCCGAAACTTACACAGGAGCAGGCGCGTGGTATGTATATTGTCGACCTTGAATGATAGCTTTGTAGGTGGTAGCATGCGAGGTAGAGAGACGCTCGCCTGACTCTACTCGCCACTCTGAGTGTCTTCGTGAAAACTCACTGTTGAAAATTGATGCATTGTCGACGCCATCGGTCCGTCCGCCACACTCGCCCTCGTCCCTGCTTGCCATGCGCATCGGCTGGGGATGGTGGCTCGCTGGTTTCGTGCGATGTTGACTGTGTCTTGGCTGGCCTGTGACGGGTTGTGTATGGCGTGTGTGTGTGTGTGTGTGTCTGTGTGTGTGTGTCGGGGGCTGTGATCTTGGGTACGGCGCGCCATCAACGGCGACGACGTGGGCGGCGCATCAAACATGGCTGGCGACGTGGGCGGCGCATCAAATTGTGTGTGATCTGACCGGCATGGTTTTGTATGCGTGTGTGTGTGTGTGTGTGTGTAGCGGCACTGGAGGAGGTGACGGCGATCTTTGAGAAGGAGGAGTCTGTGGCGCAGCTTGAGGCTGTCAAGAGCGAGGCCGGCGGCGATCTGATGAAGTGGATGCAGATGGTGGTGCCGATGGTGATGGAGATGCAGAAGCCGGTGCTGCTCAAGTACGGCTTTGCCGATAACCAGGCTGCAGCCATGCAGTTTGCGCTCGCGCTCAACACCGCCGCAGGCGAGGACGAGGAGATGAAGGCCCGCGTCGCCGCGCTCCGCTCGCAGTTTATGCCTCCCGGCATCCAGGTGCCTGGCGGCAAGAAGTAGCTGTCTGCCCTTGCTTTGACCTGATCCGCCCTCGTCCTGCTCGATGTGGTCGGCTCCGACTCGAGTCTAGCCTCTTGTGAATGAAGAGCAGCGGCCATGACCGGGCTGATCTTCACTTGGTCCAGCCGTGGCGTCTTCCATGGCGTCGTCTAGCATCTCCAGCTACTGTGCATGCCATGGATGATTGTTGGAGCAGCTGTCTTGGCTGATGTGGGGCTGGTGTTGTTGGCGTAGCCGTTGCCGTAGTTGATATGTTTGTTGTTGGCGTAGCCGCTGCCGTAATCGACGTGTTTGTTGTTGGTGTAATCGTTGGCGTAATCGACGTGTTTGTTGTTGGTGTAATCGTTGGCGTAATCGACGTGTTTGTTGTTGGTGTAATCGTTGCCGTAATCGACAGCCATGGTTCGATCATTGCGTTTGTTCATTATTGGAGCGTTCGTTTACTCAAAAACCATTGATTAAAGTCAACAATGAATGAATGTCATCCTTGGCTTCGCCAGCGCCACCACACCTCTCACAACTTGTACGAGCCATGGTGGGGAAGAGCGAGTGGGGAGGAGGGGGGAGAGAGAGACAGACAGAGAGACAGAGGAAGAGACAGACAGAGAGAATGAGTGAGTGAGAGAGTGTGTATTATGGTCATGCGTAACCTGTCCTCCTCTACCCTCCCGTTAACCATGTCGTTGTCCTCTCGTTGGGTGGTGGTGGGGGAAGGGGAGGACCACCTGGGTGGCCTGGAGTGGCAAGTCGCCGATGCCGGCATTGTGGCACAGGCAATGTTCCGAGAGCAGATGGGAGAGATACTCACAGGCATGCGCCATCACCCCTTGTTACACCGCATGGAACACAGTCTCATAATGGTATGTACCAGGTCCTGCTCCCCCTTGTTCCCTCCTTCTCCTTGCTCATGCCTCCCCCACCCCCGCTGGTCATACCCTCTCTGCTTTTTCTGTGATTTGATGGCCACTTTTGTATGACTTTGCCCCCCCCCAAGCCCCCCCCGCCAGCACCATCATCCCCCACCACATCCATCACCACCTCTACCCCATGCCCTTTCTCTCCTCCTCCTCCTCATCTCCATGCTCATACTCACTCATTCCCTCCAATCTCAAACAGCTTGGGAAGAAGGTCCGCTTTGTTATTGACTGCACCGCCCCCGTGTCGGACGGCATCCTCGAGACCGTCGAGTTTGTACGTTGTCTTCTCCTGCCGCTCACCCTCACCCTTCCCCTCACCCTTCCTGACCTCCCTCGGTCCCCCGTCCCCGTCCCCGTCCCCGTCCCCGTCCTCCCCTGATCGTCTGCTCGCCATGATTCGCTTCTCTGTCTCCTCGCTCTGTCTTGCCTCTGGTTCTCGGCCCGGCCCGGCCCCCGGCCCGGCCCGGCCCCCGGCCCCCGGCCCCCGGCCCCCGGCTCGCTCTCGGATCGCTCTCGGATTTGTCGGCTCTGTAGGCTCTGTCAGCTTTGCTGTCTTGGACCGTGCTGTGCTGGCTGTTGACTGTGGGACTGGACTGGCGGGGATAAGGCTGATGTTTATGTGTATATCTGCTCGTAGACGACATGACATGGCTTGTACGCGGACATATTCCCCTGCCCCGAACGACTTCAACTACCCAGAGGGCTATGTCTAGAAAAAGATTATTCTACTGGGAAAGGGCTGAGCCTATAGACTAGTGT